CTAAGATACAAGTAAATTGAAATTGACATAAAGAAGGAGAAGCAAGAATGTTGTAGCTTAGGTTTTCTTTTTGCTTCTTACAGATTACATTTGGTCTTGATTTGTTCTTCCCCTAAAGGAAGAGGAAAAAACATTCAAATTTTTAATGGCACTCCTGCAGTTCCTTTTTGATTACAAGGGAGAACTGATGATAAATTATAAGCAAATGCAGTTAAAAGATTCAGCATACTGCAATGAATTAAAACACAATTTGTTACCCATGATCACTAAAAGAGAAGTTTGGGCCAGAAACGTAACAGTTAAAAAGTTAAAAGTTAAAAAGGGTAAAAGAGAAGGGGGTTTTAGTTTCTTTTTTTTCTGTCTTTTTTCATGAATAGATGTTGAGTTGACTCTGAGAACAACAGGAAGCAGGCTCTGTAGTCCCTTCAGCATTTTCCTGATAAATCTTCTCCACACCCCAACAAAATTCAGCATTCATTTGTCTCAGTTGTCAGTCTGGACTCTGGCAGTATTCCAGGCAGTCTTTTTAATCATCATATAAATTTGCTAAAAATGAGCTGTTGTGAAAACTCCTTATGACCTGTGTGGCCTTAAAAGACAATGGCAAATAGCTCTTTCACTGTTCTGAATACCAAAGTAGTTCCTCGTAATTATTTCTCCTTCTTCAGTTTTAAGGTCAACAATAAAGCACAGAAATCCCACCAGGACAACAGACACAGAGCAAAGAAAAATTAATAAATTAACACAGAAAATATGAGTATAATCCTTCAGTTTTTAGATTGACTTAGCATTACAGGAAAGTAACATTATTACAGAGCACTATAAACTCTTATACGGAATTCTGCTCTGTCTCATGTGGGAAACAATCCCTGACAAAGGATTATCTGCATTAGAAAATTTCAGTGGTTGCAAATATGCAGCAATTCCCCTTGAACAGCTTTAAGATTCATGTTTCAAATTTACTGCATTACTTTTCAGTCAGGTCAGTCAAGTCCATGGAACAATATAAACTCACAGCTCTATACTACCATAAGCATTTGGGGAGTCTCAACATACAGGATTTCTTTCCCCAAAATTAATTAGCAATTAAATTAAAATTTTAACATCTACTATCTTTCTTAGGATTAAACTGCATACTTAAACTGTATCACAACAGATTAATAAAATGTTACTCTATTCAGTTATGAAACAGTGCAGTATTCTTATTTTTAGATCAGAAGATACCAGAAAAAGACTCCAGCAAATGTGACCTTTGCAACAAACCTTATCAAACCTATCTTAGAGAGCATTTCAGTATAAAGCAGTAAAAGTAAAGAGGAATATTCCAAAGAAAATAACCTATAGCAACCTATACAATGTTCAGAGTCCTTCAACATACTAACATGTAGCAACAGTCTGATTTATCTAAGCAGCAGTCTTCTTAACAGTCCTAATATTTTCAAACTAGGAACAACAGTTGTCATAGAGAAAAAGTCACAAGTCATAGAAAAGAGGACATCTCTAGGTAAATTCTCCCTTAAGAAAAAAAATGTTTTAATAGAAAGATAGTTCCCAAGCAGAGTTGTTTTCTCATTTCTTAGTGTACTAAAAATTTCACAGAAGAAAACCAGGGCACTGTAAAATTCATGGGGTTTTATTATCATATGGTAGTTGAAAAGCCATCCAGCATCCAGGACTAGGCCCATACAAAGATCAGGGCTGTCTATCCTTTTAGTCAGTATTTCAATGTCATTTAGGTAAAAAATAGTAAAATAAATTATTTGCAAGAGTGCCTTAAAGGTTATGGCAAATTTATCCATTATGCAATCATAAAAATTTATAAATCATCTGCTTGACTAGATTCCTTTTTCACAGAAGCTAGCTACCATAACTTAAGCCTGCAAATCAGATATGTGTATAGATCTCAACTTACCAATACATAAAACTTGTGTAAGAAAAATAGTAACAGTTTACTGATTCATTTTCCATGGCTTTTGGTAATTTTGGGAAGGGGAGAGAAGGAAAGGCAGGACAATTTCTTTAAGATTTAAAAAGATATATATCTTTTAGCAACTCTGCAAGTTTCTGAATGGTGGTTTTAGGCCACATTTCTTGCATATATGTAACTTTTGATATATACATGAAAGAAATTGCAATTTAGCTTATGTTTATATATGACAAAGAACGTTATACTTAGTTTATTTCTTCAACAATTAAAAGAATAGTTTATAGTAAGCAATACCAAATATAAAGTCTAAATAAATAAACAGTGCACACACTCTGCTTACAAGATGTTCCTTCCTACTTGTAGAGTAACCTGCAGAAAGACCTGTAGGACAAAACTCAGAAGAAAAGAGACCTGGCCCTCTAAAAACCCAGACACTGGCAGGGAGATCAGCTGCATTTTCCTGTAGGTGCATCCCTTAAAGAGAGCTCTATATAATGCATACATAGAGTACATTAAGAACTTTCCCTAAATTCTTAATAGATGGACTGTGAAAAGGACCAGGGTTTTCCTTCTGTACTGGAGTACTATGATGGATTGACACTGGGAGGACAAGTACAGCGAGATCAGTATGGCCAACAGCCAGTGAGCAGTAAGTAAAGGATGTTTTTTTCTCACTAATATGTAGTTAGTTGTGTTCAAGGCCAGGTGAAGTGGGGGTCTGAGCAACCTGTTCTATCAAGAGATGTCCCTGGCCCATGGCAGGGAGGTTGGAACTGGATGAATTTCAAGGCCCCTTCCAAGCCAAATTCTATGATTCCATCTATCCATAATATGCAACATTGTTTATTATTTCACCTAATCCTTCCTACATCACCCATCTTGACATTTCTTTATCATTGGTTCTTACTATAGGACACATACAGGACATGTCACTTACGCCAACACCTCTCACACCACCCACTCAAGGGTCTACTGCAAAGAATAATTTTTTTTGACAGCTTTGTTTCTCTGTTATTTGCTGGCGACATTTGGGCTATTTTTGCATGTAGCAAAGGATAGACATGTAATTAAATCTGCAACATTTCTTTACTGTTTTCATTGATGTCTTTATCCATATGCATGGTTTTACATCCCATTTACACCTGCAACAAAGATATCTCTCAGAGCCATTTTATGACAGAATCACTAACAGAGTAGCATCTCTCTATATAAAATGCTAAGTTTCAATATACATTTCTAATACCTGAATAAATTAAGACTCTAATTTGAAATCAGAATTTGGAATGCAAAGCAGAATTAACTGCTATGGAACCACACCATAGGAGTCTCAAAAGACACAGTAGGTGTACGGCTTATGTGTATTTGGGATATAAAAGTGGCAGAAAATTTGCAAGCATTAGACAGGAGTCAGAAAACACAGGAGAAATCCCTTATTTTATGAAGATGCTTCTAATTTTATACTCTGAGAAAAAAACTGTCAGACATTTATAAATTACAGGTGTTCTTAGCCATACATCCACAGAACACAATTCTAAGTTGAAACTTGACATTTTTAGTTATTAAACAGAATGTCAGAGTTAAACTGCTTAAACACCTTCAAGCATAAACACATTTATGACAAAACAATGAAGATACTGAGAAAGTGTAGTGTCAAGTGGAAGACAATTTTATCACTATCCTACTCCTCAAAAGGCAGTGTTAAATACCAAGTCAGAGTACTATTAACTATCATTTTTTGTAATCTCATCCAAACTTGTCACTAGATAAAAAAAGTAACATCAGAATCACTGCTTCTCTACTCATTTAAGTGATTTGGCATTTCTCTGGCATCTTTATGTTTTCTGTGGTCAGCCTTTGGTGTGCCAAGATGGAAGAGGAAGTGGGGAAAGTGTGATGACTTGAAGGCAGTCCCTTGTTTATCAGGGCCTGCAGGCAGAGCAGCCAGCCCAGGGAGTTTACAGACCATTGAAACAGGGCAACAATTCTCTTTGCAAGAAGCTTCTTTCTCAAGCAAATTCAATCCCAAGAATGTTTGGATAGACTTGAACTGCAAAATAGGCATAAGAATCAGAGGAAAGTTCTAACTCAATTCCTTCTTACTTGCATTAGCATGTTTCAACAACTTGTACAAGGCTCTGAAAAACCTGAACCAGAATGACAAAGGTGTTAAAAGATCAGGATTTACTTTTCAGAGATGTCTGATGAAGCTGATTGCTAAAGTACCCTTTAAAACTGAGGACACTGCTTTCATTCTCAATTTAATAAAGTTAATAATGCATACAAATATAATAATCTAATATAATCTAATTTAATAAAGGCAGAAAACTCCACAAGGTCAAATATTTCATCAGTGCTCTCACTCTAAAGCCAGCATTCAAGAATTATAAGCAATCCAAGTCTTCCTGAATAAAAAGGTTATTGAAGCAGTTTGCTGTAGAATTTTGAAGATAAATCCAGTGATATATAGAACAAATACAGTGTTGCATATTAAGCAGTACTAGAGGCTACCAAATCAACACATTTTCCAGCTGCTGAAAAAAATCAACAAAGAGGCAAAATTGCCCAAAAGCTGTTATCATGCCAACAATTAGAAATTCACTCCAGCTATTGCTGAACAAAATGAACCCAATTCCAAAAATAAATCAAGAGCAACCCTAAAACCAAACAATACACTCTGATAGAGTGTAAAATGTATAATAATAAAGGTAACCCAAACAAGAGTTATTAATATTGAGATATTAATACATGAAGTTTCTTCGAATACTTAATATTCTCTACCTAACTCTGTTGTTAAAGGAAATAACATTTTATATCTTATCAGGAGAATAATGAAGCTTGTTGTATTTAAAGGCTACAGTAAAATTCTCAACACACTTTTGGAGCTCAACCACTCCAAAGCTAGTAAAACTAGCATTTCCAAAGATTTGCAACACAAGCGACTTTTGAGGTCAGTCACAACAAGGCAGACTAAGACAAATAGAAAACATTCACATTACATTTCAAATCATTTCACATTACGGAAACAATGAAACCTATGGAAATATGCTGCAAAAAGAAGGAAAAAAATAATTACCTGGAACAAGTTCCATAACAATATATATAGGCTGTCGTTGAGTGCAAACTCCTATAAGTTTTACAATATTAGGATGGTCATATTGTTTGAGTATTCTGAAAAAAAGACAAGTTTATTATAGTAATGAACTTTACTGTACAGGCTGATTAAACAGGAAAATATCTTAAACCTTTAATGTTACTTTAATGGAAGATGTCATTATTGTTATCAAAGGAAAAAACATCATGACTGTTATCAAAATCAATATAACAGATCAATCATTACTGTTTGAAATGAAAATCATAACTGAGTCACTAATAAATCAAAACTTATTCTCATTGTAATCTTACCAGTTGTCTATGTGACATTTATCTATATAACTGAAAAACGGCCTGACAGAACCCTTGTATTTAATCAGAATTTCAGTGGTGGACCAGAAGCAGAGCTACATCAAAACAGTATGCACAGCTTGCCTGTATGCTTCCCTGCTGCACTGTTCAACAGCTCACTTGTTCCAATTTACTTTGAAAGATTAATTAATCCAGTAAGTTTTAGAAGACTATAAGGACATCAATTTTGATAATTAAATGAACAATTTATATATTTTGATAAAATGCTTTAATAAGAACATTTCCAGCCTAAAACAGCATGGTATGATTTGTAAGTCAAAAGAAGAGCAGTACAAAATTCTACAGAGACCTTGTAACTTAAATGTTTCTTCTGATATTTGCTGACTCAAAGCACCTCCTCTTTTTCCCTTTTTCCCAGAGATCAAGATTAAAATACTAACATGTTTAGCGAAAAATAACACATTCCATTTTTTCAGACAATTTCTTCCCATTAGTGTCAAGCTGCTTAACAAATGACATATCTCTGCTGTTGCCAAGTTACAAGTTTTTAAAAATTATTCAGTAGATAGGGTGGCTGATATCCTCATTCTATAAATGCAGATAAATGCAGATAGTATCTTTTATTTTCCAATACTGATCATACTAGCTTGAGAGTGGAAATTACAACATATGAAGCTTCATAGCAAGAAGGAGCAAGGTAGTTTATCTCAAGACAGCCCTCTCCCTGGAGTCTTAGAATCTACCTGAGCTGGCACTCAGAATGCTTTGCACATTGTGTCATGACTGTAATTTGGAAAATAAACATATCATCTTATGCTGATTGACACAGTATAAAATACCTCTACTGAAGCAAACTCTTCTTACAAAGAGAAAATTACTAAATGGGGTCTATACCCCACTAAGTAATCTGGGCACATTTGATCACCTCTACCAGCCATGAATATAATGCAGATGTTAGGCCTGGTATAATCACATTTAAATTCTTCCAATCTTCTAATCTGAATCCTCATGGCACATCTTAGAAGTTTTAAATTAAAGCACTTAAGACAACAAAATTTTATTTTACAGGCATGGCTTGCTTTGTCAAAAAGATGGTTTCAGCAAGCAAAAATACTACTGCATTCACACATTAAAAATGCCAAAGTTTAGTTACCAGGGAGACAGCTGTGGAATATACTGAGGGAGAGAAAGGAAGGAAAAGTTTTACTACTTCTTTTTTTAATTTTTCAGAAGGTCAGGTTTTGTAAATGCATCTGGTGATAAAAACTGAAAAAACTGCTACAAGTAATTTTAGAGAACCTACCTGGCTTCAGACAGAAATTTTATTTTCAGTTCCTGAGGAAGATCTTCTTTGCAAGTTTTTACAGCAACAGGGGTTTTATCCTTTAATGTTCCTTTATACACCTCACCAAAATTACCCTGAAATCGGGACAAAAAAAAATCATTCTAGGTAAATAAAATCTTAATGAATTGCCAGAAAAAATAATGCAGAGAGCATCTGAAAGTGGACTAGAACTCTGGAATGTGTTTATGAAGCCAAATGAGATTTTCTTTCAGTATCTGCCCTAACCAAATCCGTTCACTCTGACATAGTACATCTATTATATGGACACAGCATATGAGTTCTGTTTTGACCTTGCTGGAAAGAGGAAAAAAAAAAACCATTAATTAAGTAATTAGAATTTTCTCATAAAATCTCTTAAAAACTTTTCAAATCAACTGACATTGATAGTAGTACTTTGTTCGTCTTATTCTTACTCCTGCACACTTGCATTTTCATTTCACTATTGTATTTTGTGAATGGTTTTTAACTTGCAGTCTGGAAGAGACCAAAAACTAATCTCAAAAACTGTGACAAAACATACCAAAATTACATAAACATTCTCCTATATAAGAAAGAAAAAATACAAAATATGAAGAATGAAAACACTGAACATTATTTTTTATCATAAATTAAACCCACTGCAAAATGCATTGTGGTGTATGGTGATCCAGAATTTCTTTAAACTCAAGGTCAGCACTGCTCTATAAAGGCAAATGTGTAAGGCTTCCATTTGGACAAGACTTTAGAAAATAGCTCCTTTTATAATCTGACATTTTAGGTAGTGAACAACATATCCCCAAGTTAGGGGTTTTTTTTAGCTTTCATAGAAGAAAAATGAAGTAACAAATACCACAAAAAAATCCACCAGGTAAGTTTTTATTTAATAAAAACAAAAGGAAAATTAATTAAAACCTGAGTTGAAAGAAGAAGGAATTTGTGAGGTATACAACACTGGTATCAATGAAAAAAGCCCTCAAAAAGAAACAAGAAGGAAACTATAGATCTCATACTTCTAGTTAAGCTTTGTATTTCCTAAAGAATACACACATCTCAATTTTGAAACTATGTCTGATCAATTTCTACACGAACTACGCTTCTGTGTCCTGGTGGCGCCACATGTGACTTCAAAAAAATCTCCTGGAGACATTTTCCTTCCTTTCCTTCCTTGAAACTATCCTGTTTAAAAATGTGAAGATCCTGCAGCACTTGTATTTTATGAAGGCACAGCTCAATATGGTCATACTTTTTGTCATCTTAATCTGCCAAAGAGCTTTTATCCTGGGAAACAGAAGTTTATAGCAGTATTTTATATCCCCATTCTTGAATTTCCTACTGATTTTTTTATTGCGTACTATAGTAAGAAGGCAATTAACTGCTTTTGATTTGTGTCTTCCCCATTTAATCTTATTTTCTCAGTTTTCAAAAAATCTTTTCAAACTACTCTGTGTTCAGAGTAGCACCCAAAATGGTCTTTGCAGGTGCAAAAGTGCCAAAAAAGTGAAGAGTTTGCCTGATTTTAAATACTTGTAGTTCTAAACAGACTTTGTAAACTACATGTTTATGAACTACACAAGATTTAATAAGATTGTGAAATTATTTAATTTCATCAATGAACGAGTGACAATAATCATGCACAAGCAATTAGCATTTGTTTTAAGAAATAATGATTTAGTCATCTCATCATACCAGATTTTATACACAAATGCATAAGTATACACCTGTTTCTCTCCATGTTTTTATTTATATTTTGCAATATTTTTCTCCAACTACAGAAAGTAAAACAGCCACATCATGAGTTATAAAAATCTACTTAGCTCAAAACACTTCGAAAGGAGGAAAAAAAACCCATATGGTTATTAAATACTTTCAGCATAAGTATTATAACGTTTACTAGCAAGTGTGATTTACATCACACTTTAAAGCTGTCTCATGTATTAGTGTAAAAAAAGACATAAAAATTGCAGTGCAATTTAAAAGAAACAGTACACAGAAATAGCTTAATCATTACCGTATACTTGCTCAAATGTTATTTAGCTCACTTTACTACTTACTTTGCCCAGTAATTCCCCCAGTGTGACATCTTCATGATTGAGAACCCATTTCTTATCCTATGAAAAGGAAAGCAGAATTTTCAGTCTGTGTAAATATGGAAGATACGGTTTCTCTAAGATACATTTCAGTAGAAATGGAGTTGAAAAAGTATTACATTCAGAACACTCAATCACAAGCATACCAAGAAATTTTAAAGCTAAACATTTATAATTCAAAATTTTACAAATCTTGCTTTATTTTATACAATAAAATAGTGAGTGATACTGTATAGAAAATTTTTATTAGAAATTAAGCCTACAGCATGATGGTATGTAGATAGATTAGCACTATATAAAGTTTCACACAAGCTCTGAAATTATATTTAGCACCCTGATTTTAACAATTCATCAAGTGAAAATTAGATAAGAAAACTTCGTTTTAGTATACAATGTAACTTACTACTAAATCAAAAAATTCCCACATTTTTCTCCTCAGTGCACACGGAAATGAACTGATCTTTCAACTTGTCAGCAAGACACATACTTGCATCTCTTCCATCTGTTCTGGAAGTTGGAAATATTACAGGCAACTGCTTGAAAAGACAACACATGCCAGGTAAAGCATTTGCCCAGGCACTGACCATGGCCTGTGCTGGGCACTGGTGTCCAGCTCTACACCCTTCCACTCAGGAAGGACATGGGGGGGCTGGAACATGTCCAGAAAAGGACACTGGAGCTAGGGAGTCTCTGCAGCAAAAGTCAGATGAGGAGCAGCTGAGGGAGCTGGGGGTGCTCAGTCTGTAGAAAGGGAGGTGTGGCTAGGTGGGGGTCAGTCTCTTCTGCCACATCCCAAATCAAAGGACAAGAGGAAATGATCTTAAATAATGCCAGGGGAGGTTCAGATTAGAAATTAGAAAAAAGTTCTTCACTGACAGAGTGGTTAGGAATTGGAGTAAGCTGCCTAGGGAGGTCATGGAGTCACCCTCTCCAGAGATTTTCTGTCGAACATGAATTCAGCAAATCTAAAAAGGGGTGGGGATCATTGCTAGTGTGATTTCTATGCTTTTGTTCGTAAGTATAATGTCACAAGTGTGCATTCTAGAGACTTTCTGAATGCCTTCATTAAAACAAACTCCCAGCACACAACACCTCTCAGTCCCATCCCAAGGATTCCTGTACCACGCTACCATGCTGCATGATTTAAACCAATCTTTACTATATCTCTTCCCTGGGTGGGAAATGGTGAGACTTAGGGGAAATTCTCAACATACAATAGTTTATTTTTCCCCTATACACAAGATTATTACTTAAAACTACTGTCTCACTGATCAAACATCATAAGAAACATACTTCCTTCATCTCACTAGATACCTTCTGCTGAATGAATGCCTCATTCAAAAGCTGTTATACTACAAATTGATAGGAAGTGCTATCCAACTGCACACTCTTTCAATAATAATACTCAAGTTTAAGAAAACAATTTGCAAAGAAAGCTGTAAAAACCTTAACCCACAAAAATTACTACTTAGTGGTATTAACATAATAGTTTTTAACATTGAAATAAGTGTGGTAAAGCTCAAAAGTTAAAGAATTAAAATTGAATTGATTTTTTTAATCCCTGCTTAACTATAAGGATTCTGTACTTCAATGAGTAACTTTTTTTTAATAAATTCACAATATGACATTTCAAAAGGTTGTTTATAAAGGAAAGCAATCTGGTAATTCTTCAGAAAACTAACCAAAGAAAATACCATAAACTGGAATTAAATTATCTGTTGAAGGATTTATAATCATTGCATTACTTTATATTACCTTATATTTATTATTATTGCATTCTCTTACATTAATCATTACCTGTACTTTTTAAGAAAGCCTTCAGTCATTTCTTATACCACTTTAACCCATTCATTAATTTATTGTAGTTCTGCCGGATTTTTCAAAAAGAATTATTTAAAGCTTGATCAACTTTGTTTGATGTAACTGCTATAAACTGCACAAAAGCAGTTTCTTCAGCAGAAGTAAGAAAAAACCTAACAGTCATGTACATCATGCCAGTGTACAATTCTGACACTAAAAAAGAAACAAACCAAATCTTCTGATTTGCAGTGTGTTATATATTAATTAAAACAGTGTTCAAAATACATTGTCATTGGTTCAGATAATTGCCTTTAATAAATAAACTACATTATGAACACTAAGGTCAAAGATAACAAGACATTCTACTGCAAATTTGTTATCTCACTAAATCTACCTGAATTGCTCTGAGTTTAATATGACATCATTCAATAATTAGAATAGCTGTTAATGATTAAAAACATCAATAAGGCACACTTATCAATGTCAAAATCAATGCATAAATACTAGTACTCATAAACAAAGGTTATGAAATAAAGTAATATCTGTCTGATCATGAAGTTCATGATCTTCTCTAAATGCTTAATTCTGACTGTGAATAGAATGTAACAATCTTTCCAGTTTTCAAAAGCCTTTAGTCTACATATTAATCATGTATGCAAAAGATATTGAAAATTATAAAAGAAATGTGACAGAAAAATGGGACAAAAATATTCTTGAATGCAGGTATAGGTCAACAAACACTTTAATGCACATCAGTCCACAGAAATTTTCATTTCATTAAGAGTTAGCTGCTTCTAAATCAAGTGGAGCAAATCCAATACATTTTTGTACCTAATCAAAGTAATCTGAATGGAAGCAAACAGAACCCCTGAGACTATTAATGCCCATTAATTTCACCCAAAAGGAAGCTGTTTATTATGCAGTCCTCTTATTCTATAGTGACACTGCTATAAATCTCCCTTTACCTTGCACTTGTTCAGATTTTTCTCTTGTTAATTTTGGACCACAGAATATAAAAGCACTTCCGAAAAATTCAGCCACACAAATTAGCACTTGAGCGTACTCACTTGCAATCTTAATTATATACCTTATTTCCAAATGAAACTACTTGGGAAATTTACAAGCTTTACCACACTCTATTTCTGTCCTCTAGCTTTCCCCAGGAGGAGAAACTGAATGACACGAATGCCACACTTTAAGCACAGGTTTACTAATAAGATTATGGGAATCCTATCAGTTTATCTTACCTGTGGAGGTACTGCTACATCTGTTGGTCAAACACTGAGAAACAAGCTGTCAACCAGACAGCACACAAAGGGGAGAACTTCGTCAGCCTTGACAGTCATCCTTCCCCAATAGTCAGGCACTTGATAACCCACATCACACTGAAGGCTTTTATATGCAGCAGCTTGCTAGTGACTACCTTTCTAGACTCTGTGCAACTACCCAGCACACTTGTCTGACTTCAACAAAAATAAGCATTTTCAAAGAGAAGAGTTATTTCAAAAACCAAAACCTCAAACAGACAAGTAATTAAAAAATAAAATTTTCACTTGTGAAAATGAGTACTTTAAAATAATCAGAAATGTCTCCTTTTTTTTACTCATAAAACAATGTATTCTGCATATACAGTATTCTTTTCCTGGATACGTAGCATTCCTTTTATAATGTTAGGGTGTTTCATGGTTCCCTAGACCATGATAAGGTTCAAACCTTGCAAAGATAGCAATGATTCAATTGTTCATCAATACTTGCTTCAGTGAGTATACAGGAGTTGTGTGCAAGGCACTGAGAACAGTTTGGACAGCAGATGGTTGATGTATAAAATGAAATCTCATTTCTCCTTTTCTGAGCTATGAGACTGAAATGTTATCACTATTACCTTAAACATCTTCAAAATACGTAACTGCAGGTTTTTTCCTGCCCATCTCCCTTTACTGGGAGAAGCTACATCAAAGAGATCTCAAATTACTATACCAGGAAGAAAGCTTACAAATTGTCTGCAGTAAATTATAACAGCTATCAATAAAAGAGAAAACATAATAATGATCTAATACTTAGTGTTCAAACTCCCTTAGCATTCTTTTCCTATAATTCTCAGTAACCAAGACACAGTATCAATCATTAAGAATTCTAAAATGCTACTTTTTCAAATTTAAAACCAGTAGTAAAGCAATTAGAAAGTAAACTTTTAAAAACAGATGTTTTGAGAATTAGGTATGAATTTATGAGCCTCAGCTTAAATATTTGGTTCTAAAAATCTCACCATTTCTAAAAAGGAGAGAGAAAAGGGAAGGGAAAAAAAGCCACCTGTGTATGTATTCAGTTTCAGAGAACTGCCAAACACCAAGATTCTTACCAAGATTTTTCAAAGAGAAAGAGTGAGGAAACCCTGATCAAATTCCAACATAGTATGAGTAAGAAAAACCTTTATGTAATTATCACTGTTATTTATTCATCTCCTGTTCTCTCTCACATTATTTACTCTTCCTAGCTCAGAAAGCAGTATCTACAGCAAACATTGTTACTGTTTTTCATCTTAATTGTAGTTGTAGCAAAAGTGAAAAAGGATAAAAAACTCTATAGGCTGGAAACCTTAGTTGACTTAGGGAGCCCCAGAAGGAATCAAACAAAACTTATTGCTTTAAGAGAACTCAAAAGATATGACTTTCCAATATTAAGAATATCCAAGCACAGCATGTGGCATTTATGATAAACCTAAATATCCCTCCCCTTTCCCTCATCCCAGTACATTATTCCATAACATTCTTCTAGAAAACCTCAAAATAGAGGGATATTGTCAACATTTCAAGAGTCAAGTGTATAAACATGCATGATGCCTGTTCCTCCATGTTTTAAGCAGAGAAAAAATGCATCAAAAATACTTTGGAAAGTATTATTTGCTCTTCTTCTTCCAAGTTAAATAGGAAATATCAGTACTATGAATTACTGCAGCTAAGAGCTATTTTTCCACATCAACAGAAATGGAAAGTTAATCTTTCCTTTCCAATACTAAGTATAATTGGAGTAAAATTCTTTTTATGGCTAAGAAAATCAGAATCGCAGACAATTTTCATCAGATGGGTATTCAAATCTCACTTATCAGAACTTGATGAACCAGACAGAAAAAAAAAAAAAAAAGTAACAGCTGTGTACATGTGGATAGGGCTTATTAATGTAGGAATGAGAAATTGTCTTTTTAGAGAAGTACTATTTTTGAT